CTCCCCAGTGCTGGGATTACAGGTGTGTGCCACCATGCCCAGCTGGGCATGTAATCCCAGCACTGGGGAGGCTGAGGCAGGAGGGCAGGAGGATCGCTGTGAGTTCAAGACCAGCCTCGGCTACATAGTGAGTTCTAGGTCAGTCTCGACTACATAGTGAGACCCTGTCTCAAAAAAAAAGCTCAACATCACTGGTCATTTGAGAGTTGCAAATTAAAACAACACTGAGATTCCATCTCGCCCCAGAAAGCATGGCTGCTAACAAGAAATCAACTGATAACAAATGCTGGAGGGGCTATGCAGAAAAAGGAACCCTTCTCCGCTGTAGGTGGGAGTGTGGACTGGTGCAATTACTGTGGAAATCAGTGTGGGAATTCCTCAAAAAACTAAACTAGAGGTTCCATTCAACCCAGATATTCCCCTGCTTGGTATCTTCTCAAAAGGATTAAAAGCATCTGGCTGGGGATTTAGCTCAGTGGTGCCACCACCTGCCTCAAAAGCACAATGACCCAAATTCTATCTCCAATACACCCCCAAAATTAAAAGCATCATCCGACAGCAATATATGCATGCCAGTGTTTATAGTAGAACAGTTTGTAATAGCGAAATCTTAGAAACACCCCAAATGCTCATCAACTGATGAGTGGATAAAGACGTGGTTTTTCTATAAAATAGAGTACTACTCTGCCATAAAGAAGGGTGGACACACATGTTTAAATACCACATTGTTTCTCTGGTGTGAGAAACCAAAGTAGAAAAAAGGACTAAAATGTACACTAGGAATTGGGAAATGGGAAGAAAATGTTCAGATTAAAAGGGGAACATGAGGACCTAGGACGTAGCTCAGCCGTTCCACCACCCACCTGGCAAGCACAAAGTCCCAAATTCAATCCCAGATACAAAAAAAAAAAAAAAAAAAAAAAGCCAGGCGTGGTACCCCACGCCTGTAATCCCAGCACTGGGGAGGCTGAGGCAGGAGGATCGCTGTGAGTTCGAGACCAGCCTGGGCTACATAGTGAGTTCCAGGGGAGTCTCAACTATACAGTGAGACCCTGTCTCAAAAAAAAAAAAAAACAAAAGGAAGGAATGGGGCAATAAAAAGAAGCAAGCTATATCATGTACCATTAGAAATTCCCTATGATGAATGCTATCATTTTGTCTATTTAAAATGTTTTTTTTTTTGCTAAAAAAAATGTGAAAAAGACTTTTGTACAACCTTTTCATTGATATACTGATAGGAAAAATAAGAGAAACATTCTAGCAGCAGAAAACAGTTAAATAATGACACATCAATACATTAGAGTATTATGCAGACATTACAGACTACTGTATATGATGACGTTGGAAATGCGGTAAATCTAGTTTTTTTGTTTTGTTTTGTTTTGTTTTTGGTACCAGGGATCAAACTCAGGACCTTGTGCTTGCCAGGCAGGCGCTGCACTACTGAGGTAAATCCCCATCCTCAGTAATCTAGCTCTGTATATGTGTCTAGAAATATCTAAGGAAATGTATTTGAATAATGGGTGAACACCTTTTTTCTTCAGGTGTTTTCTGAGACGGGATCTCACTGCACAGCTCAGGCCGGCCTCAGACTCACTCCTCCTGCCTGCTGCACTCAGCCCAGCTGCCGGGCTGACCGTGTGCCCCACACCCGGCTCCTTCAGCCCGTTCACAGGTTTGGGCTGTGCAAGTAAAGGGCATGTGTTTCAAAGCAGTAGTAATACTTTACTGACCTTTTATGTTGAAATACGTTATTTTTAAAGTATCTGTTATTAAATGTATTTCTATCCGTGACTAGTTACACTATGTCCTGTTGATTTTTTCAAACACAGCACATGTGGCTTGGGAAGTCATTTTTTTTCAATGCTTCCAGTTCTAGGTGTTGCGGCTTGTGTCTGGATGTCCCCCCAAATCCTGATGGTCTTTTTCAAAGGTAACTAAATCGGGAATGTGAGATGCTTGGATTAAGGCTGTGTGCTCACTAAACCACTGCACTGAGTGATCAGTTTGGCACCTCCCTAATCCCAGTGGTCTGAATAAAAGGGGCAGAAAAACACTGTTAAGGTCTCGTGTTCCTTTGCTACCCTGTGTGCCGTGTTGCTTCTGTTTGCCACCCCTGCCCTGGAGCCAGCCGTTATGGACTGAAACCTCTACAAACTGTGAGCAAGTAAACCCCTTCTAACTTCAGGTGTCAGGTATTTTGTCTCAGCAAGGAGAGAAAAGTAACTAACCACTAGATACTATTACTATATATTAGAATGTTCCATGTCTCCACGCGTCAAGAAATGAATTTTCTGCCAAGCATGGGACACACAACTGTAATCCCAACTACTTAGATGGCTGATGCAGGAGAATCTCAATTTCAAGCCCAGCAACATAATACTTAGCAAGGCCCTGTCTGAAAATTTTTTTTAAATTTTAAATGGCTGACGATATAACTCAATATAAATGCCGTTATGGCTGTGTCTAGATGTCCCCCCAAAGCCTCACAGGGTCATAGGTATGGCTTTTTCAAAGGTGGCTGTGATAAAAAAAAAAAAAAAACAGCATGGTAATGGCAAAGAAACAGACCTGAGGATCAGTGGAATAGATTAGAAGATGCAGAAATAACTCCAGACTACTCAGCTACCTCATCTTTGACAAAGGATCCAACCATCCTCAGTGGAGAAAAGATAGACTCTTCAATAAATTGTGTTGGAATAACTGGATTTCAGGGACAGGGACTTAGATCAGTGGCACTGTGCCTGCCTCACAACTGCAAGGTCCTGAGTTCAATCCCCAGTACCGCAAAAAAAAAAAAAAAGATTTCAACCTGCCAAACCTTAAAACTTGACCCCTATCTTTCACCACGCCCTAAACTAAAATCGAAGTAGATTAAAAAATCTAAATACTAAAAGAAACAAGATAAACTAGGTAGAATTGTCAGAGATATTGGCATAGGAAAAGACTTTATGAACAAATCCTCAGTAGCATGGGAACTAGCACAAAGAATCAACAACTGGGATCTCATCTTTTGAAAAAGTTTTTGCACTGTAAGAGAAATCACCAACAGAGCTAAGAGGCAATGTACAATGTGGGAAAAAATTTTTCCCAGCTGCTCCTCAGACAAAGGACTACTATCTAGGATACATAAAGGACTCAAAAAATCAGGCCCCCCCAAATATAAAGACCCAATTCAAAAATGGGCATCTGAAATGAACAGACATTTCTCAGATGAAGAAGTAAAAGCAGCAAATAAATATAAGAAAAAGGTTCAACATCACTGGTCACTCGAGAGATACAGATGAAAACAACACTGAGATTCCACCTCACTCTACAAAGGATGGCTACGATCAAGAAATTAATAACAGGGCTGGGGATTTAGCTCAGTAGTTCCGCTGCCTGCCTTGCAAGCACAAGGTCCTGAGTTCAATCCCCGGTACAAAAAAAAAAAAAAAAAAAAAAATCAATAACAAATGCTGCTGGGGTTGTGAGGAGAAAGGAACCCTTTTCTATTGTTGGTGGGAGTGTAGACTGGTTCAACCACTGTGGAAATCAAAATGGAAATACCTCAAAAAACTAAGGTTAGCAGTCCCATTTGACCCAGCTATTCATCTGCTGGGTATCTTTCCAAAAGAATTAAAAGAATCATACCACAGTGATACATGCACACCCATGTTTATAGCAGCACAGTTTGTAATAGCTAAAACTTGGAAACAGCCCATTTGCCCATCAACTGGAGACTGGAAAAAGATGTGGTTTTTCTATAAAATGGAATACTACTCAGCCGTAAAGAATGAGAAACTACAGTCATTTATAGCAAAATGGATGCACATTGAGGTCATACTCTTAAGTGAAATACATAAAACATGTGTAAATAACAAATAGATTCTCTGGTGTGAAAAACTAAAAGTGTAAATAAGGTTCAAACTGTATAACTGATGGCTGGTCGTGGTGGCGCATGCCTGTAATCCCAGCACTGGGGAGGCTGAGGCAGGAGGATCACTGTGAGTTCAAGACCAGCCTGGGCTACACAGTGAGTCCCAGGTCACTCTCCACTACATAGTGAGATTCTGCCTCAAAAAACCAAAAAAAATTAAAATTGCATAACTGACAGTGTGAAATAGGAAGAAAAGGGCTAAAGGTGTAGGGGAAGTAGGAAGGGCAGGGGAAAGAAAATAAGGGAAAAGAAAAAAAAATATCAGAAAAGGAAAAAATGGAAACAGGGCCAGGGATTTAGGTCAGTGGATCTGCTGCCTCCCAAGTTTGATCCCTGATACTCAAAAAAATAACAAATAAAAAAGAAAAAATGGAAACAAAGTCTTTGTAAACAGGGAAGGGAGAAGGGGGGTGAAGGGATGGCAGGGCATGGGGAAAAATAAGAACCAAGATGCATCCTGTAAAGGTACAAGATCCCATTGATGAATGTGACTGTTCTGTATGCCTAAAAAGCACCAATAAACTCAATGAAAAGAAAAAGGTTGGGGCCGGCGATTTGGCTCAGTGCCTCTACCTCCTGCCTCACAAGCACAAGGGCCCGAGTTTGATTCCCAGTACCAAAAATTTTTTTAAAAATGTTGTCTGGACCTAGAGTTTGTGATGCTGCACTTAATTGACGGTGCCGTGCTAGGCTCAAAGGCACTGGGATGTATGGCGAGTGCTCCTATCCCAAGAGTCTGGACAGGATAAAAGGGGCAGGGACACGCTACTAAGGTCCCTGGTGGCAGCCACGCTGCTGTATCCCCCTGCCTTGGAGCCGGCCAAGTACGGACTGAAACCTCTACAAACTGAGCTAAACAACCTTCCCCCTTTAACTGTGGGTGTCAGGTATGTTTGTCTCAGCAACGAGAAAAGTAACTAAGACTAAGGCCCTGGGTTCAATTACCAGTAAAAAAAATAATAATTTAATTTTGCCGGGAATTTAGCTCAGTGGTGCCGCCGCCTGCCTCACCAGCACAAGAACCTGAGAAAGAAATATTTAATTTTCACTCCCTTGATTCCAGGACAGCAAGGATAATCACAAATTTGGAAACAAGAACAATTTGTGAAGCCAGAATTTCGTTCCAGGCTAGCAGATGTGACTACGTCTGCTCCCCAACAGCATGGTGAGCGCAGGAGCGGAGGGCGGACAGCTGGAGGAATGAACCCACAACCCGGTCAGTAGCCATCTGCTTGTGCAGCAGAGCTTATTATCCCCTTTCTTCTAACTCTGGGCACACAGGACACCAGACCTCAGACAATTCCTCCCAGGAGAAGAGAGTTCCAAAGCAAGAGTAGGACAGGGTGACAAGAACCATGAAAGGAAGGCAGGTGAGCCAGGATGGACGGCAGGATTCTCACCAAGGTCACCTGTAAGTTGAGTTCTCAAGGGAAAGGAGGGCAGGATGTGACTCGGGTAGGGCACTCAGCTAGCTTGTGCAAGGTACTGTGCTCAGTCCCCAGCAGTGTACGAGGAAAACAAATGGCAAAACGATGACAGCCTAAGTCGCAAAGCCAGGTCTCCATGAGATCTTTTCTGCAAGAGGCAAGGAAAACACCATGAGATCCCTTGTATTCAGGCTTTTTTGGCGCTCTCAGAAAAACAAAGCCTCTGCAAAGGCCCAGGTAGGTGATGCTGCCTTTAAAAAGACTCCTGGGGGCCAGGAATTTAACTCAGTGGTTCCGGTGCCTGCCTCGCAAGTATAAGGACCCAAGTATAAGGACCCAAGTTCGATCCCCAGTACCAAAAAAAAAAGACTCCTAAGAAAGACTCATAAATGACCCATTCTTCATGACTCCTACTTGTCTCCCAGGGGGATGTTTTTTAATGGTGACAAAGTTGATTTGAAGAACTAAAAGTGAAGAGTGATAGAGAAACTGGCTCTGCAGAGAGAGCTTGGGCCAAGTAAAAGAAGGAAAAGCAAGATAAAAATATACTCTGGTACCGGGCATGGGGGCGCACGCCTGTAATCCCAGCACTCGGGAGGCTGAGGCAGGAGGATCGCTGTGAGTTCAAGACCAGCCTGGGCTACATAGTGAGTTCCAGGTCAGTCTTGACTACATCGGGAGACCCTGTCTCAAAAAACAACAACAAAGAAACAAAACAAAACAAAAAATATATATACACACACATATACATGCACACTCTAGAGGACAGAGTGGGCTAACATGAGGAAAGCCATGGTAGGGAGCCCTTCTTGGCTTCTGTGTCCTTTTATGACATCCAAATCTTGAGGAAACCCTCGAGAACTGGTACATATGGATCGTGAGAAGTGGTGTGGGATCTCACGATGCCTCTCTTCCCGGCCAGCCTCAGCCAAGCCCTGTGTCCTACCTCATTTCCCCTGAGACACAGACCCCTGAATTCTTTACGGACTGCTGAAGGAGTGAGGGTCTCTGTCTCCTGCAGGCCCTACCCACTGGGGGTTACGGGATCTCCAACTACCCTAGAGTGCTGCGGCTCCCTGGGTCGAGGGGCATTTTGGCCCATGACAGCTGTTCACGGAGACAGGACGACCTGCGGGAGCACAACTCTTCTTCTAACGCTCAGGCGAAGGCCACACTCTCCAAGTGCCTCAGAAACTCATCAGTGTTTAGCTTCCCAGAGACAACATTCCCTTCAGTCACTGCCCAAGCCCTGTTCTGCGTCAAGACAGTCTCACAGAAAGGGGCTAAGCCGGCCAAAACGTTCACCACCTGTTCTGATGGAGAGAACTGAAGGGTCCTGGGGACGGCCACTGCCCTGACCATGGTATCTCCATCGCTTGCGAGGAGCCCTGGGTGATCCAGGCATTTTGGGTAAGTTGCTGGATTATTAGTACAGGGGCAACTACTGTTTTAACTTCTCTGGTAAAACTTCCTCTACATTTGTAGGCATAATTAGGGTAAAAGACAGCTCTGGTCCAGTTTTCTTTGCTCCTGCTTTGACATGCCATTGAAATATTTAACCACGAGGGCCAGGAATTTAGCTCCATGGTGCTGCTGCCTGTCTCACAAGTGCAAGGTCCTGAGTTTGATCCCCAGTACCAAAATGTTTAACCATGAATTCTTACTGCCCCACTATGCCTTACTCCCTTTTTGTGATTTTTTTTGGGGGGTGGGATTAAGATCTCACTATGTAGTTCAGACTAGCCTTGAACTCACTATATAGCCCAGGCTGGCCTGGAACTTGAAGCAATCCTCCTGCCTCAGCCTCCTGAGTGCTGGAATTACAGGCATGTACTACCTCACTTGGCTTAAAATGTTTTAATGAATTCTTTTCAGTATTTTTTCAAACTGTGACTCAGGACTCATACCGTGTGAAATTAAGTGGTATACCTACTTTGAAATAGTCTGTTCTTGGTCTGGGGATTTGGATTTAGCTCAGTGGTGCTGCTGCCTGCCTCGCAAGTGCAAGGACCCAAGTTCAGTCCCCAGTAAAAAAAGGAAAGAAAGAAAGGAGAAAAGAAAATAGTCTGTTCTGCCTACATAGAAGATTTTGCCTCAGCATGTGCCTGGGAAGGGAGCACAGCAAAGAGATAGCTGAAGGATCGAGCTCTTGTCCAGCCGCCCTGGACGTTGCCCACCAAGAAGCCAGGGGAGTATGTGTAGGGTTGGACTTATCTCCTTCCTTTCTTCCTTTCTTTTCCTTCCATCTTTCCCTGTCTTCTTCCTTATTTCCTTCCTTTCTCCGCTCTTTCCTTCCTTCCTTTTTTTTTTAAATAGTGCTATGGATTGAACCCAGGGAAGCACAACCCCAAACCTTTTCTAATTTTTTACTTCTTCAAGACAGAAATTGCTCCTTAGATTGCTAACTTGTTGCCAGGCATGGTGGTCCACACCTGTAATCCCGGCATTTGGGAGGCTGAGGCTGGAGGATTGGCACAAGTTCAAGGCCTGACTGGGCTACATAGTGAGTTCAGGGCCAGCCTGGGCTACAAAGCGAGACCCTGCCTCAAAAAACCGAAACTAGCCAGGGATTTAGCTCAGTGGTTCTGCCGCCTGCCTCGAAAGCATAAGGACCCAAGTTCGATCGCCAGTACCAAAAACAAAACAAAACAAAAGATATTTGATTTCTACAAAAAAACAAAACAAAACAAAATTGCTAAATTGTCTGAGCTAGGCTTGAACTTGCAACCCTTCTGCCTCAGCTTCCCAGAGTACAAGGTTGCACTACCACATCTGGCTAAGGTTGAGCTTTAAAAAAAAAAAAAATTGGGGTGGTTCTTTTGAGACAGGTTCTCACTATGTAGCCTAGGCTGGCCTTGAACTCTCGGTGATCCTCCTGCCTCAGCCTCCTGAGTGCTGGGATTACAGGCGTGCGCCACCACACCTGGCTCCAAGAATTATTAAATAAGGTCACAAATTCATCCCTGTGGAATCTGAGTCATGAAGTTTTATGGAGAAATATGTTTAACTGACATTATCATCAAACACCAAAGGGTGTCCTTAGCTTAGATTCTAGTTGCTCTTCACATCTGAACAGCTTTCCCTCTTGCAGAAGGGTGTGTACGGCACCTCCCTTTGCAAAGCCTTCCCAACATCCAATAGCACTTGGTAAAAGGCCAGATGGGCTTTTGTCCCTATTTGGCAGGTGAGGAGGGCCTGAGATGCAGAGAGGTCATTTGACTTTCAGGGAGGAAAAAGCAGGCCCAGACTCACAACGCCACTGCAGCCTCCACACCCAGGGATCTTGTTCTGCTCCTTTTGGGGAAGAGGTTTTCTATTATACTTGGGGCTGTTTAACAATTCTTTGTTGTTGTTGTTGTTGTTGTTGTTGTTGTTGTTGTGGTTTTGGTTTTTTGAGACAGGGTCTCACTATGTAGTTGAGACGGACCTGGAACTCACTATGTAGCCCAGGCTGGTCTTGAACTCACAGTGATCCTCCTGCCTCAGCCTCCAGAGTGCTGGGATTACAGGCGTGCGCCACCACGCCCGGCTTGTTTGACAATTCTGACAACCGGTCAAAGCAGATTTTGCCTCTCAAGGCTATATCACACCTCCCTGATGCAATAAGTCAGTAGGGAGATCCTGCTGCATAGTACGATGGCACTTTGAAGAGCCAAACCAGCAATAACAGTAGTTACAAAACTGAAAGTTACAAAACAGCCAATTTTCCAAGCAAAGAAAAGGCCCATAAGTCTCCGGCCTCCAACATCAAATGCTTCAAACACAACGTTCTGTAACCTTATCCATCCCTTCAACACTCCCATTCTCCCAGAAGTAACCCCCCCGCCAGAATATCGGATGGTGTGACTTCCATTTCATTAATGGGGCAGCGATTCTAAACCACCCTCTACCAGTAGTGGCAGACCCATATTCAACTCTCTCCAAAATTCCAGGGGACACAAATTTATTCTCACTCTCAGATCTAAAGAATGCTTTCTTTCCTATTGCTTTGCACCCAGACTCTCAATTCCTGTTTGCCTTGAATGGGAAAATCCCATTACAAAAGGCAAACAATATACATGAGCAGGGTTCCCACAGGGCTTTAGGGGTGGGTAGCCCCATCTTTGTGCCCCAACGCTAGGAAAACTGTACAACTGTATACCCTACCTTTTGATATCCCTCTCGGACACAGCTCCATCAAAAAACCATTTCTCCTCTGCATCTTGGAGAAGCACGCCAAATGGTGAGGGAAGCTCTGTCCAAGAGGAACATCAAAAGGCAGGCTACAGTTGTGAGTTCACAGCAGGTCACTAAGGCCAATCCTCTACCCCTGGAACAGGTGTGGGCCACCACACCCAGCCAGAGGAAATAGCTTTTCCACAGGAGCTTCCCAAGGAAATCCCTCCTCACTCTGGGCCTTCCTGTCCCTTCAAATGACAATGGACATTCTTTTACCTCTCACATAACTAAAGGGGCAGCAAAGGCTTTAGGAGTAAAATACTCTACTCTGCATGGAGACCTCATTCCCTGGGAAGGTCCAAAGGGCCAACCAGACCCTAAAAACAGACACTGGCAAAACTTTGCCAAGAGACTTCTGAGCCATGGCCTATAGGCTTCATGAGATTTAGACACAGCCTAAGGACCGGGCCAAATAAGAATCTATATAAAACGCCACGAGAGGCCTTTTGTATCTTCGGACATGGTGATAGATCCTGAAACCACTAAACTTCACAGTGTCTTATCAATCCGGGCCACATTCAACAAGCTAACAATAGGGAAATAAGGTCCTGCCAGCTCCTGGCCCCAGGGGATCACTTAGGGTCTGCCCTGGGGACCAAGTGCTTCTTAAGACCTGGGAAGGAAGGGACTCCAGGAGACCAGTTAAAACCAAAGTGGAAGGGTCCCTTCGTAATCATTTTAGCCATCCCCACCACTGTGTATTTGGCAGGGGTAGATAGCTGGATTCACCTCTCTAGGATCAAGCCAGCTCCACCTGGTCTACCCA